TGTGTGTGGGGGGTGTATGTGTGTGGGGGGTGTATGTGTGTGGGGGGTGTATGTGTGTGGGGGGTGTATGTGTGTGGGGGGTGTATGTGTGTGGGGGGTGTATGTGTGTGGAGGGTGTATGTGTGTGGAGGGTGTATGTGTGTGGGGGGTGTATGTGTGTGGAGGGTGTATGTGTGGGGGGGTGTATGTGTGGGGGGGTGTATGTGTGTGGGGGGGTGTATGTGTGTGGGGGTGTATGTGTGTGGGGGGTGTATGTGTGTGGGGGGTGTATGTGTGTGGGGGTGTATGTGTGTGGAGGGTGTGTGTGTGTAGGGGTGTATGTGTGTGGGGTGTGTGTGTGTAGGGGTGTATGTGTGTGGGGTGTGTATGTGTGGGTGGGGGTGTATGTGTGGGGTGTGTATGTGTGGGGTGTGTATGTGTGGGGTGTGTATGTGTGGGGTGTGTATGTGTGGGGGGGTGTATGTGTGGGGGGGGTGTATGTGTGGGTAAGGGTGTGGGTGGGGGTATGTATGTGTGAGTTCACTTTTACATTTACAATGAAAGGGGGGGGATGGTTGGTAGACCACTACTGGCAATTCTACTACTAGTGCCATTGTTTTCAATCATTTTACAATTACCCTTTGGCGGCATCGATGAGTGTTCTTAAAGAATGCCTTGACCTACTCAAGGGACATTCTTGGACACTAGTAACTTTGCCCATCCAACTTTTTTTTATTGTTGTCTTTGTTAACAATGGCAATATCCTAAACATAACAGCACCCGATGAAATTATACTTGGCATTTTCTCAACGCACATATGCATATTGTCATAGTAAGATATGCCAACCCCTACTTGCCAATGAGAACATCTGCAAGTAGTAGACAGACGAACCACATCATTCCACCATTGCACTGGCTCATCTGGCTTCCATTACCTCACCTGACTTCCATCGCCATCGTGAGGTCCATCGTGACGCCCGAACTCCGACTATTCGACTATTATTTGCTGCCTTCAATTCGTTTTTGCCATAATAATGATTAACGATCCCGTATAAACACAACAAACTAAAGCTAAAGGCATAAGAATAACCATCCGTGAAAAGGTACACTATGAGGAAATGTAAAAAAAAATGTTTGGTTCTCGCTCGCATCTTCATCTTTTTTTTCGCGAAACCGTCACTAACTCGTTATTCTGGAGTTACCTCGGAGACCTTTTATAAAGCCGAAAACTAAACTGAAAATTCCATCGGTGACCAATAAAATCGGCTCCTAATAATGGTCCCCGTCTTCCAGGAAAAAGCTGGAGGATACTCACCCACTCCCCGCCCTTGTCTCATACCAGCCGCACAACACGAATCGGCCTCACTAAGACTACAGACACTGAGATGCCTCCATCTCAGCGCGTATGCGGTGCGCATGCACACTTTCCTAAAACGAAGTACTGCGCTGTGGTGCAGCTGACCTGTCTTCAGTCAAAGCACGGTCTGCAGACGAGGTCCGAGTTTCACTGCTTCGACTCTTGGCGTAAAAACACACACACACATATTTATATATATATATATATATATATATATATATATATATATATATATATATATATATATATATATATATATATGTATATATATATATATATATATATATATATATATATATATATATATATATATATATATATATATATATATATATAATCACATTTGCAAGGAGGAGATATTACACCGTTCCTTACTACTGAGATATAGCCGTTTCTGGAATCATCCAGGCCAGCAATACGCACGGTTCGTCGCGGCACATCATACTCAAGGTACTTTATACAGATGACACATACTGACCTGATGTGTGACTACGAATGGTTAAAAGTCTGATCCCGCGATATTCAGTTCATTTACATCCATGTACATTCTACAAAATACCTTTTGTTCTCCTGTGTATATACAGAATATATTTCATGTACCAGGTAGCACACAGAAATACAGGATTTGTAGTAACATTTTTTGCTGTATGGCAAGAGGGGAATTCTCACATTTCGCTACTTTACAAGTGCCCGAAAAACAGTGAATACTACTCTATCTCTGTCTGTGTGTGTGTCTCTCTCTCTCTTTCTTTCTCTTTCTCTCTCATTCCCTTTCCTTCTTCCTCCTACTCTTTCCCTTCCCCTTCTCTTTTCCATTTCCAATTCCTTTCCTTTTCCCCTTATCCTCCTCTCCCTTTATCCCTCTATTACGTCGCGGTTTCCCTTCCGCTCGCAATCGCACGGCAAGCAGCGGCGCCCGGCGTTCCGAGAAACGAGAGCGCATCGTAATGGCCGATCCTACTTGTTGCTCCCCCCCCCTTACTAGTATTATTTTTAACTTCAGTTTTCCTTTTTCATATTTTCTTATCCATTTTTATTTTTCATTGTTTTCTCTCTCCTCTGTGGCTACATTCTCCATCACCTTCCTTTTGTCTTTTCTCCTCCACCTCTCTAATTCCCTTTTACTCCTCTCTGTTTCCCTCTCCCGAGATTTCGCGTCCTTTT